ACATTATAGACCTTCGAATCATGAGAGTATCAAAAGAATATATAAACCAGATTAGGCTGACGCCAACGCAACTTCTGAACCCCACCTGGACTTGCCTCTAATTATAGACGGCAATAGGATTACGCCTCACGTCAACGTGGATTTTTCATCCAGAGACTGATAAAATTCAATGCTCACCGTAACCTATTGTCCCTGTCAGACGTTCATCGCATAGAATACCGGCGCCGAAGAATCTGTTGCAGGTGCTATGTTTGTCTGACTGCCTCCAGTCGGAGAAGTTATCGTGTACCCATCTTGCTGAGGAGGAACAGTGATAGCAGCAGCGCCTTCTGGCACTCCTCGTTCAGGGTATTTGGTCAACGTTATGAATATTTTGAAGCCTCATGGGTTGATCTCCATATTGTTGCTGTTGTTGCTCAGCAGTGTTTGAATATGAGGCTGTTGTTTCTACCGGGAGGGGAGTCGGAATATTGTCGCTGCGGTCCACTGTATCGCATAGGATACGCTGGTCTAGGGCCAGGTCCGGTTACTAAGTGTAATTGAACTTGGCTCGGAGATGCGTAACCTATTTAAAAAAAACAAACTTAAAGAATTTGCATATTGCTTGGTTTATCTTCTTATATATAAAAATGGATCGCAAAATGTGTTGGTAAGCGCATAACTCAACAACGCCTTGACCAATTTGGTCAGTTCATTTTTAAAGATGTTCGTTGAAGTCCAAGGATGGTTCTTACGGCGAGAAAAATTCGAATAATTGTCGTGAAAACCCTAAAAACAGCCCTTTTCTTTTTCTCATACAAACGTTTTCTAACTAAAACGTAGAATCGATTTAAGATTTATTGCTATTATATTAAGTCCATATTAAATTACAAGCACTTACTGTATACTCCTTCTAAACGATTATTCGGATTTTGACAAATCTTTCTGAAGTTTGTTAAGGAAATTTTTTAGAATGTATGCGATTATAAAGTACTGGGATGTTTGTGCAATATTGTAGAAATAAATGGAAAAAACGGCAAAAAACGACATATCATTGTTTGCATTAAAAACAAATGAAAACTATATCCTGTCAAAAATTTCAATTTACGTATGAACCTAGACAATATTAAAATATGTATAATAAATTTATGATTATGAATAAGAAAAATGAAGTTATAAACTTAAATGAAATTGTGAATTGAAAATGTCTACATTATTATTGCCAAAAAGCAGCTGAGATGTGCCAGAAATTAAAATAACAATAAATACACAATATGTATGGCAGACTGAATGATACACATATAAACAGAAATATGATAAATTAATTCATTCAAAATATGAAATTAAGTATTTATCAGGGCCGGTCCTACCTTTAATGCGATGCATACGAAAAATACGAGCGCACGCCTTAGGGGGCGCCAACACAAGATTCGGATATTAAATCTTCAATATAGTTTTTTTTTCAATATATAATTTCTTTGTTTATTTTATTAATCTTCGCACAATATTTTTAAAATTCGTAAAAAAATCACTTTATAACAACAAATGAGAAAGTAAAACCCTCATGATATCGATTAGGAGAAGTTTAAGATGCAATTTTGAATATCTTAAATAATAAAAAAAATTAAATTAATTTAGTTCGGCATGAAGTACCAGTGTTATGTTATGGTTATGGTTATGTTATACCGTTCAAAAGGCTTCAATTTCCAATATAGTGTTCGAATTGAGTCTCATCATTTTATTTAAAGCAGTTCTACATGTAACATCGCTCATATTATAAATGTATATGCATTTTGACGTGAAGAGTAATTTAAAAAATAATAATTGTTATTTTTAGGTAAACGGTAAATATTAGTACATTATGTATATTTAAAAAAATGTAAACATGCGTACAGGACAACGTCTGTCGGGTCATCTAGTTATTCATTATAAATTCAATATTTTCTGAATATTACAAGAAAAATATTATATTATAACAACGTCGTCTATAGGCGACATACATACACATAAGTCGACATGCGTATGCCGTCTAAAGGCAACTCTCGTATCCATATGTATGTTGCATATAGATGACGCTCGTAGCGAAAGGTTACATTATCAAAAATGTTATTAATTTTACCTGTTGGGGCGTTACCAGGAGGTAGCACATTAGAATTGTTAGGCATAGGAAGACGAATCATTTGTTGGCCAACGTGAATAAGAGACTGCTGTTGGTGATGGTGATATTCCATCATTGGATACGACCGCCTATATCTAAAAATGTTAAAAATATAATTTGTTATTTTAGAATTATATACATCTGTCTGTAACTATTAATATTCAAATATAAACTGTTTTCTCTTTAGTGATAAATAAGTGATTACGTTACCTATCTTGGGTCCTATCATGCATCCTCATTTCCGTTGCATGTACTTCATTTGTTGAATAATGAGGCTGGTGCACATAACCTGCTTCTTGATTATTATATGGTATCAGTACCATAGTTTGGTGATAATTTCTCAAAGGAGGTGGAGACTCAGGTCTACCCCGACTAGGACTCCTTGCTGCCGTATAATTCGGATGGTGTTGATGAGGATGTTGATGGTGCATACCATAATGTGGATGGCGATCATAGATATTCTGGTACATATTCTCTTCCTGGTGATAACTATGCCTGTGATTACCATCTCGGTCTTGATAATGATAATACCATTGTGCTTGTTGTTGGGCAGCGGCTGCCGCAACATTAGCGCCAGCAGGTTGCGGTAGTGGTTGATTAGGAAGTTGTTTTTGAATGGGCATGGGCTGATGCTGTGCTGGTGGATGTATATGTTGATTCTTGGTTAGAGTAGACGGCGGTGATTGTAGCTGAGTTTGCATTTGTTGTAGTATTTCCGTAGTTGATCCAAATCTGAAAAGGCATATGACATAAGTTTCGAGATATATAAATTAATTTAATTGAAACAAAAAATATTTTGTTAGCCCCATATTCAATTTTAGAATGAATTCTAAAACTGGTGCTTTAAAATACTTTTTGTAGTTAATTTAAAATTGTGCAAGACAAAATAAACAAATAGGCAAATTTTAAAACGACACCAGTAGACTCAGATATCATCAGTTAAGCTCTTAATATTTTGAGTTATATAGTTGCATATTATGAAAAATAATGAAAAATTAAATACCTAAAGAATGAGATGATAATATTTGTGAAAAAATAATGAACCAATAAATACCATGAGATGTTCAGTTTTCATATAAATAAATATCATGATATCTTATCAATTTAATAAATAATTTCTAATTACCTAGGTTTGATTCCCCGGACTGATGGACGTCTGTTAAAGCCGTAGTCATCATGCTCATCATCAGATCCACTTGCGTTGTTAGTGTTTATAGATTCTGCTGCACCGTATCGTTTCTTTATTCGTTCTATACGACTAGCATCTTGCTGAACAAACGCAGCCAATTCGTCTTGGATTGGCAATTCTTGAGATCCAGGAGTACCAGGAGTTCCTGCGAATAAACCAAAATTATCAATTGAGAAATAAATATCGAATATTTGTAGAGAATGCGTGAAGTGTAGAGAATTCATCTAGTGGTGAATAACATAATCTATTAAAAAAATTAGATTAGTATTAAATTTTTCGGTAAAACTAAAGTTCATAGATAATTTTTGATTTATTGATGTTGAATTTTCACATCAACTTCGTTATATATGTGCTTTATGATATATTTCATATTTTATAAAAATTCGACAATTACCTGCAATAACATCAGGTGCCACCTGCTCGCCATCTTGCTGTTGAACGCCAACAGCAGGGGGAGCAGGTGCAATAGTTTTCATCAACACTTCATCAATGTCTCCAAGACTATATTCGGAACATTGTGTACCGCTGCTAGCAACACTTACACGCTCGCCAGGTCGACTTAACTAAAAATGAAAAATATCAAATACAAATTAATTTTTATTCAGTGACTTCATTGTCTTATTCATACACTAATTCATTATCATTTAAAAGAAGAAACTCTAAAAACAAAAAAAAAATAATACCATTAGGGTTAAAAAATGGATTAGTTGCATGGTGTACGTAAAACGAAGCTCAAAACAATTAAAGGAACGTTTGTTGAAAATACTTATTGTTAGGTGTAAAATAATTTTGTAATAATCAAAGCAATATATTGAAGCAATGAAGCAATGTACTTCTTATTCAAAGATCTCTTACTATTTAAATCTGCATTGTATATATGGTAAGTTTGAAATAATCTATTTCAATTAAATAGAGTAAAAATTAATTAGCTGGAGATTCCAAACTACCAAGAGTTAATTCGGAACTTGGTGTTCAATTTCTTAATAAAAATCCTTAATTTGAAAACTTAAACTGCCATTAACAATAAATAATTCAAATGAATAATTTTTCTACAAGAAAAGGTGATATAACAAAGATAATCTTGAATATTATTATCATAGTTACTCGTTCTCAAATAAAATTAATTAATAATTCTAAAAAAAAACTAATTCTTACACCAATCAGCTTTAACATATTTACAGTGAAAAAAAATCATAAAGCAATAAATGCTTTATCTTGAATGAGGTATGGACAAATTATTGCTATCAAATCGGTTTATATAAAAAATTTAACCAATAATAGAGAAGTATATGAACGTAAAGTACTAATGTTCAACCTAAATAACTATAATTTACGAGTATACTAGTCATAAAGAAGTGACAAACTATTATGTATCATACCTAGAAATCAGTGATAATTGGCTATTAAAGTTGCAGATTTTTTACAAACGAACAAAACGTCTTCTTAAAATGCAAAATGTTGTAAATATTTTGAGCAAATGAGAATAAAACAAATGAGTAAAAAATATCAACAGTATGAGATGATATCCATAAAAATTGTGAAATAACAAAAATTCGATTGCCGAAATACCATTATCTATTATTCTTTGCTGTGCTAAATTTCACTCCACAGCAAGAGTTTTGGAGTTTTAGTTCTTACTTTGATATGAATATTTAATTAAATTTCTGGCGTTTTTAGTTTAATATGCATCCAGCATATGCTTATGTTAAGCAGAGAAATAAATATTAATAATAAAGTTTTAATTTTCAATTAAACGAAATAAAGACATCTTTTACATCAAATTTCTAACGCAACTTATTCTGTGAATGATTAATACAGTAATACCCTGCATTAAATTCTTAATCCGTTCCGCAAGAAAGTTCGTTGTGCGAAAAGCTCGATATGCAAAACCCGTACAAATACATGAAAATATAATTAATTCGTTCGAAAAATAGAATAGAAAATGAGATATATTTTACATATAATTAAGACATTTAAAAAAGTATAACTAAAAAGTAAGTTATTAAGTAACTTAATAACTTACTACTTAAGTAGTAAACTATAAAGTAAGTTATTATCAGAGTCGTACTGCTTCCTTTTGTGCCCTTTCAACTTCTGAATTTTTAAAGAATCTATTTATATTTTTTTTCCAACGTGTATATTTTCACAGCGGAGCAAAAATTTCCAAGATCCACTCTTTGAATTAAATTGAGCAACATATGTTTTTTTACTGCAAATGACAGGACGTTCCGTGAAGCAAAATTCGTTATGAGGAACGTTCAAGACCAAAAAAAAAGTTCGTTATGCGCATCACCCATTGTGCGAGATATACGTTATGCGAGGTATCACTGTATACTCATCGTGAGTAAATAGCGCCAACAAGATACTGTTAACGGGTTAATCATGAAATATTCTACATAACCAGATAATATAATATTATCATTTTATATTTTAAATAATCGTGTTCTGTAACATTGAAAATTATACGACAATAATCATACACGTATACAACAATAAATAGCTAACCAATTAGGTAATATATGAAAATAAAACAGCAATACAAGGTTCAAGAAAATAATTAAATCAATACCATACATTATTAAATAACAAATAATACTTATAATAAAATGATGTATACCTGATAATAATAGTCATCGTGGTTGCCCATGGCATGGTGATTAGCGCTGACACAAGCCGTAAGCGGCGCGAGAGACGATAGAAACTGTTTCCTTGATTCGGATGCCGTAGAAGTTCTGTTTGCCAAAGGCACGTGCGCACCCGTTTTGCAGCAACATTCCTGGCTGAGGGGCGTATTGCATGTGCTGATGAGGTTGCCCGTTGCCAAGATCAGGAGCCGTCGAGGGACATTTGCAATTCTATCAAAAAGATAAATTGGCCATATTAATGTTTTTATTGATAATATGAATAGCAATCAGAATAATCCAATTTTATGTGATATTTGGTAAAAATATTATAAAGTCTAGTAAACTTCCAGTACAGCAACTTAAACTTTTTAAAAGCTTTAAAGTTTTTTGAGAACTTTTAATTTTCTTATTTTGATTTTTTATTTGATAATTATGAAGCGTATAAGGGCCGCGTTGCAGCTAAAAATTATAAATCTTGTTATAAAACCCATGGAAATGTAAAAAGTTATGTGTACTTTTTATTAAAATCTTTATAAAATATCTGATAATTGCGCATATGTCTAATGATCAATATTGACATCCAAATGGCATTTTTAACATCCCGAAATTTATGTTTTCATAAAAAAACGATTCGCTAATTTTATGTTTTCTCGACCTTTCAAGCCATTCTGAATCAAATGAGACATAATTTGGAAAAACTATGTGTGTATGCGAACAGTTTTTTTTGCCGTGAATTGACGTTTTCTCAAAAACGGCTGGACCGATTTCAAAAATTTAAAAGCCATTCGATGTAACTTGATGAGGGCTATTGTTTGTCAGCGACGATCGGCCAAGCCGTTTTTTTATAAATAGCAGAAAAAGTGAAAAAAATTTCGTCCATGTTTTATCCCGCAAATCTGAATCGATTTTGAAAATTCAAAAACCGTTCGAAAAATATTGGTTGGGAGTGCTGATTAGTTTTTGGTAGAGATCGGCTGGGTCCTTTCCTTATAATAAGTATTAAAAAATTTTTTTCGACTATTTTTATAATTTTTTTGCCGATAGATACCACAGTCTTATAGATCATACTAAAGTATTGCGGCTCTACGACAACTCGTTTAATTTTAAAAGTTTGTCAAAGTTTGCAAAAATTAGTATGGTCTTTTTGACATTTGTCAAAATAAGAACTCTCATCGATGTTTGCTAAATTTCATAAATTTAAAAGCCTTTTGATGTATCTCGATAAGGATTATCGTTTGACAATTTTGTGCGACGATCTGCCGAGCCGTTTCTTTGCAATTTGGAAAAAAGTGATAAACTTTTTGTCCACATTTAAGCTCAATACGGAAACTGGTTCAAAATTATTGATTTTTTAAATTTTGCATTTAGAAAATACTCTGAGTTAACGTGATCGTTCGTTTTCAATTATGTGTAATGAATCCACTTCGAATACTTTTAACCACTCATAAATTAATTAATTTTTTTATTGATTAAGTCGATTATTTACACATTTCGGAAAGTTCATGTTACTTGCCTTAAGGCAAAATACCAATACCAACTAGTTTATAACATTTTCATTGGAACTCCGAAACGACTGGACATGTCTTCCCGAAAATAGATCTTCATTTTGTCAATTCAAGTAAATTCTTTTTTGAATCATTCAAATAGAACTCTCCGTTCTCTCAAAAAATGAATTATCCTTTTTGACACTTTTCCCCCGTATCTTTGAAATGGTTAGACCTGCCTCGTCGAAAAACTAATCAACACGTTTTGCCATCAATGAGAATCGAATAATTTTTGAATCATTCAAACCAATTGATCCGTGTTCTCAAAATCGTCGAAGAAAAATTGTATCCGCACATAGATACATACATATACATTTATCAGTTTATTGTAAGAGGTGCCAAAATGTTCAGAAATCTTTGAAACGTAAAAATCATTTTCGATTTTTCTGGTATTGCTATAACTTACTCTACGGGAAGCTAAAATGCAGCAAATTTGTGTATTTTGATCAGTAAAATCGACATATTATAAATCAGTGCAACTTTTCAGAGAATCAAAACTTATTTTCAAATTTCAAAATGTTACAAATAATATTTCTCCTCATGAACTGGGATACTAAATTATAATTGTTTGACATATATGGTCAGAGTAAAATTAAAGCAGGAAATTAACAAACGTATTATCTAATTATAAACGTACTACAATTCCGCACGAAAATTATAATGATAGTTATTTTATTATTATAGATAATCATTAATATGAATTGCATTATTATTAATGTAATAAATCGGATTATTTGCGATATGCTATAATCTATTGTAATACTTTTGCGGTAGACAATTATATTTCAGTAACCTAACGCATTCCATATATAATACAAATATTAACTCAGAAGCATCTGAATAAAAACAGCTTTATGTAAATATATAAGTTTCTTGATAATACGTTACATACTGAGCATCATAGGTTTTAGTTGGAATAAAAAACAACAAATTCATAACGTACCGCATTTCCTTGAGGCATAAGCACTATCGGATTATCCTGATCTTCCCGCTCATTTGCCTCAGGTATCTTTTCATGTGTAGTCGATTTTCTGGTAAACAGTTCTGTTATCTTCCTGTAAGCGGACGATGAACTATTAGAAGACGACGACGTCGAAGAAATACTACTAGATGAGCAGGGAGAGAAACTAGAAATTGGAGCACCGCCAGCGCCAGTCGGGTTATTGATGTGATTCGCTGCCAGCTGCGCCTGGGTAGGGTATGAATTTCGCTTCGAAGTGGGCGCGGGTGCTGTGTCAGAGGCTTCTTCGCCGGATGGACTATCCCGTTCCTCCGGTTTGGCCTGGAAATGATTATTTATATATTTTACTATTGTAGCAATAAGTCAGTGGTTTCCAACCATTTTCGCACCTCACTCCTTTGTAATTAAAAAAATTGTTGTCCCCCCTTTAGATTTTTTAGCAATTTCATTTCATAAATACTCAACTGATATTATCAGACTACAAATTAATAATATTTAATATTATGTAGAAATATGCATACAAAATAATTATTCTCTCATATTTTCTCTATATGATTTTAATTTTTCTGTTCATTTTCCAAATTTGTATGTTTATTTAGTAACAGCAGTATGCTCTTCTTGCAACAACCTAGCTTCCAACTGAGGAAAAGCGTCCCACAGTTTGGAAACCGCGGCAATAAGTATTTAAAGCAAATATACTTCATGGTAAGTGTTAACGATGCATTCACGAGGCCATAATCTGAAGTAATATTGATGTTTTTTTTTTTACTTCAACAGCATATTCTTTAGTGACTATTAGTAACAATCAGATGATTCCCTAATATATTTAAATTAATGTAATTTAGATGTTTATTATCTCAGCAAACAATTAGTGGATAGTATCTACTGGATACCTACTTACTGAAATTGCAATACTTTTCAGTTTATAGGTCGGTAAATTTCCATTTCTTTTGATAATAAATTTAGAATCTGAATCTGAATCTTAAGATAAAAAGATCTGTAATTTCAAATTGAAAGAAAATTTATAAAAAATAAATTAGGGGTTTCACTAAAAATGTATGATATTTGTAAATTTACTGCAATTGTTTTCTATTTAAATATTTTAACTGATTCTATAACTAAAATGTGAATAATAATCTCCCTTCTTGTACAAAATAAAACTACATACAAATAATGATTATTATTTATTACATATGCAAAATAATTCAATAAATTGCTTTCATGTATGTAAATGTAATTGAAAGAGAAACGTTATTGAAATATGTTGGCATATTTTCTATCTATAAATAGCTATGATCGTAATTAATGGGTTTGATATATATTTTATTCTCCATGTATTTAAATTTGAAATAACAGAAACAACAGAATGAGTTTTTATTTGATCATATAAATATTCAAAAATTATTTGCTTTAATTTTCATTTATTTCATTGAAGTTTCAATAATAAACAATGTCTCATGCTTAATGAAATGTCGATAATAAATATATTTTTCAATATACATCTATATTTATCTAGTTCAAGTTAACGAATTCTTACAATATAATAAAGAGTATTTTAAAAAACTGAAAACGTTTATGAAAATTTATTTAATTTAAACAAATTTTAATACCAAATATTATGCAAATTTTAAAGTCAAAATTAATAATAATTACTACTATATTAGGGGCTAGTTATAACATAAAAGAATTATACACAAATTCATGTGAAGATTGGAGAAAATGTACAGTTAGTCAGATGTAAGAAAATGTAACTTGTTATAGGAGACACTTTATCTTTTATTCTTATTATGTTAAAAAATATAGTTTACGCTGATTTATGATAAAAAATTATATTAAGAGAAGCACTATATTTTTTGTATTAATTATAGTTTGTGTAGATGAATGAAATTAATTACTTAGAAACAAAAAAATACACCTGGCGTTAGTTGAAACCAACCTTTCAGGGCTAGTTATAACATACAAGAATTATACACAAATTCAAGTGAAGAAGATTGGAGGGAATGTACAGTTAGTCGGAAGTGGGAAAATGTAAATTGTTACAGGAGACACTATATTTTTTATTCTTATTATGTTAAAAAATGTAGTTTTCGTTGATTTATGATAAAGACTTATATTAAAAGAGGCTATATGTTTTTTGTATTAATTCTAGTTTGCGTGGATAAATGAAACTAATTACTAGAAACAAGTCAATTTTCTTAAATACGAATATTCTTTGTTGTTACTACTTGCCCGAAACGCGAAATAAATTGTAACGCAGCACTTTTTCTAGAAATGGATTAATTGTGAAATAATGAACAGCAGTTGTGAAATTATTCTTACACGAATCGGACAAGGAATAGCTACTACAACTAGATACACTACATCTTTATTTCGTAGAAATATAATCAGTGGATCTTAAGATTTATTAACTAATAAAAAACTGTTAGAACAAGCTTCTAGCTCACTTATATTATCATACTCAATTAGAACATGTCTTGCAATATAAATTTTTGTAAGAACTTGTATAATTGGCTATTTAAAAAAAGTTATTCGTAAATATAAAATTAACCTATAAAATAATATCGTAGTAACTCCATTAAAAGTACTGTTACAAATAATAAACTTCGTACCTCATCTTCAATGTCGTCCTCGACACAGGTCAGCTGTCTGATCCTCTCCTCCAAGCTGGTGGTTTCAGGTTGCTTTTGTTGTTTTTCGCTTCGGCTCGTACTTGATGAGCGACCTCCTCAAAGCGTTCCGTTCGATAGTTCTCCTGATCGCCGCCTCCTCATCAGTCTCTTTATTAACGGGAGCCAGCGGTCTGGTTCTCTTTGACTCGTCGAACGCTCGAAGGTTATCAGAAGTAACCAGATACCTGGGAAGGTTACTTACAGTCAGTTTAAAAGAAAAAATAGAGAATGCATGTCAATGGACAGATAATATTCTGTAGATTATGTTTTCTGAACAATAATTTTGGGTTTTAAATCAAACCTTAACTTCAGTTGTTCAACGTATTGGAGGATAGTGTTTTTTTATTTAACACTATGCAAATGTTTCAACCTTGTAAGCTATGCATAATAATAATTTAGTGGTGAATGGTATCGTACCTTAAAGCAAATTGAGGAAAAACTAGTGGAGCGCATGGCATCTAGCCTTAAGGCAAATTGCTGGAAATTCCCGTACCAAATATTATTATTTTTTTAAAAACGATTAACATTTTTGAAAAAAATTGACTTCGAAAAAATTAGATTTTTGAGAAACTAGGAATTTGACAAAAACTTACTTTTTTGAAAAAAATGTCTTTGAAAAAAAAAATGATTTCTTTATTTTGACATATTTTGGAAATTCTGCAATCTGCAATCGTACTGCTTTAACTGCATAGAGAAAAAATGACAAAATTTGATGTGCATATGTCTAATGATCATTTTTCACCGCCAAATGGCATTTTTTTACTTTTTTTTATTAGATCTTTGAAACCGCTAGACCTGCCTTTATGAAAATTTGATCAATTCTTCATCTTGTCAATACAAGTAAAATGTTTTTTGAATGATTAAAATCGGACGCTCCGTTCTCTTAAAAACTGAGTTACCGTTTTCGGCACTTTTGCCCCGTATCTTCGGAACGGCTAGACCTGCCTTCACCAAAAACTAAACAGCACGTCTCCTTATCAATACAAACCGAATCGAATTATTCAAATCGGTTGATCCGTGTTCCCGAAATCTTCGACGAAAATTTGTATCCGCACACACATACACATATATACATTTTTTTAAGTATGCCAAAATATTCAAAAACGTAAAAATATATAAAAATTTTCATTTTTTATTTTTTTGCGATTACTATAACTTACTCTACGGAAAGTTAGGTAAACGGTAAATGTAGGTAAAGGTTTGAAAAAATATAATATGGCTTAGTTGAAACAATGATGCAAAATTTTACACAGTTGCTTATAAGTTCGAATGCAGTTTATGAAACGCTTCAAATAGTTTGAGTTCTCAAAAAATGGGTGAAAGTCACGACAATTACAGCTATTAATTTGCCCACAATTACTGCCAGATTTAGTAATATGTGCTAAATTTCCATTTATGTACATTGAAAACTAGCACTTTATATTTCTACCAAGTTTCTTTAGAGTATTGTCTATAAGAAAATATATTAAACAAATATGGAAATGATACTATCATTTTTTAGATATTTGTTGGTTGCGCGAGAAACATATAGAGGGTAATAAAATTTGTAATTTTTTAAACTTTAATTTTATTCTGCAATCTATATATATTTGTATTTAGCAGAGAATGCTTACGAGTTGTTTACAATTAATTGTTTACAAATTAGTATACCCCCAGTAGCGTAGAGCTAATATAATAAAAAACACTAAAGACAAAAGGGGAAACAAATGAAATGTAGTAAATTGAATATTTGTAAATTGAACTACATAATTATTGATAGCATGGTATAAAAAAACATTTGATCAACTTAATTACTTATAGAGTGTAGTTTTCATCAGTCTGTCTCTATCTATCAACGTAGAAATACTGATAGTCTGACATGAGAAAACATAAGAAGATGAAAACTGAAAATCATGACACGAAAAAAAATGTAATGAAAATTAAGTTAGAAACAAGGCAAGAACGTGCCTGTTGTCTATAATAATAATAATTATTATTATTTATATTAATTTAACATTTTAACAATACACCTGGATTGTTGAGTTTGTTCATCCACCACTGGAAATAGCTGTCTTACAGCCGAATTTGGCCTTAAAATATTTGATGTCGTATATAAAGTACTGCCACCTCCGACTAAACGGTAATTTCCAAGTGCGTTATCAACAGATGATTCTTCTGCCGTCCTTTCTTCTTCAACCTGGTTGTCGTTCAGGTTCGATGAAGTCTCGTCATCGCGGTCCTCGGATGTTCCATGGAGGGTATTGTCATTTTCTTCGAAAATCGAACTGATCTACGACTTGCATTATCGTCATCGGAACAAAACTAGTAGCATCCTCCTGAATTACATAAAACATATAACTAGCTGTAAGTGGAATTCTGTCTTAAGGCAATTAAGGCATCGTGCCTTGAGGCAAATTGCTGGAACTTCCCGTACCAAAAATTATTATTTTTTTAAAACGATTAACATTTTTGAAAAAATTTTACTTCGAAAAAATAAGATTTTTTAGAAATTTTAAATTGGACAAAAAATTACTTTTTTTGAAAATAAATTTTTTTTAAAAAAAAATTTTAAAACAATTTTTTTATAAAAATTTTTTTTTGGAAAAAATGTTATCTCATTTTGATATATTTTGGAAGATCTGAACTTTTTTTCAAAGCAATCGTACTGCTTTAACTGCATAGAGACAAAATATAAAGCGCGTAAGCGCCGCGTCGCTGTCTAACAGAAAAACAATGGTACGGAACCCATAGGAATGTAAACAAACTTATACTTATGTAAAAATCTCAATAAAATATCTGATAATTTGATATGCATATGTCTAATGTCTAATGATTATTGTTGACCGCCAAATGTTTTTTTTTTTTTTTTTTTTACTAGATCTCCGAAACCGCTAGTCCTATCTTCATGAAAATTTGATCAAATCTTCATCTTGTTAATACAAGTAAAATGTTTTTTGAACTATACAAATCGAACGCTCCGTTCTCTTAATAACTAAGTTACCGTTTTTGGCCCTTTTTGCCCCATATCTTCGGAACGGCTAGAATGTTTTTTGAATTATTCAAATTGCTTTATCCGTGTTCCCGAAATCGTCGACGAAAATTTGTATCCGAACACACACACATGCACGCACACACACACACATACACACACACATACATCAATTTTCTCCAAGGTATGCCAACATATTCAGAACCTCTGAAACGTGAATATATATAAAAATTTTCATTTTCGATTTTTTTGCGATTACTTACCCTATGGAAAGTTAATTATAAATAAATCAATTTATGATCTCCAGAACATTAACAATCGTCATTTCATTTCGAATCAAATTCCAAAAAAAAATAGTTGCCAAATTTACACAAAATTGAAAAAGTGCTCCCGCATAATCACAGTCTAAACGCATTTGCAAATAATTCTGTGCGACATTTTCACTTATACTGTGCTCAGTTGGCGGCATTTTCACATTTTTCAATAATTTTCACAAAATTGGAAAAGTGCTCCAGTACACAAACAGTCTAAACGCACTTGCGTAAACATTTCTACCAGAGTGGCGCTTAGACTGTGCTTAGCTTGGGTGATTTTTTGAATTTTTAGTCCAAAATTACAAAAAAATTTTTTTGAAAAAAAATTAGAAACAAAATTTTTTTTTTTCCAAAATCAATTGTTTTGTTGAAAAAAGCAGAAAGTTCTTTGAATCATTTAAATCGGACGCTTAGTTCTCTCAAAAACAGCCATTTTTTTTAAATTTAGCTCTGTAACTCCGAAACCTCTGGGCCTACCTTTGCCAAAAACTAATCAGCACATCTCCCTATCAATAGGAATCGAATGTTTTTTAAACCATTCAAATCGGTTGATCCGTTCTCTCAAAAATTCGCTTTCTATTTTTTGCACTCTTTGCTCCATATCTCCGTAACGACTGGACCTGCCTTTGCCAAAAACTAATCAGCACATCTCCCTATCAATAGGAATCGAATGTTTTTTAAACCATTCAAATCGGTTGATCCGTGCGCCCGAAAACGTGGACGAAAAAACGCGGACATACAAAACACACACACACACACACACACACACACACATCCATTTTTTCTGAGGTATGCCAAAATGTTCAGAAACCTTCAAAACGTCGAGAAATGTAAAAAATTTTGATTTCGATTTTTGGACGATTACTATAACTTACCCTACGGGAAGTTAATTATATAAATAAAAACATAAAATTATCTGAGAAATTTCTAATGAAATAACGCATTACTATAGTATTGATGTATAAGTTCGGTTACTTTTAAGGCGACTCTAAACAAATGAACCAATAAGTAAATAAATAAGTAATTTTTTTCATGAAAATGTTTGTGTATACTTAATATTTCATTGCTTCAGAGACAATTTATGGCTAAACAATGATGAATAAACTACTAATATTTGTTATTATGCATTACATTGTATAAATATTAGAAGCAAACTAAAATAAATTTTACAATGTTAAATTACTTTATCAATACAATACAAATTTTAACTAGCTGTAAGTGGAATTCTGTCTTGAGGCAATTATGGCATCGTGTCTTAAGGCAAATTGCTGGAACTTCCCGTTGAATACTGATATATAATATAAAATAATAAAATAAAATCTGAAATATTTTCGATATACAAAAAACTAAAAAAAAAAAAAAAAATGGGACAAAATTTTTTTTTTCCAAAATCAATTATTTTGTTAAGACAAGCTGAAAGTTCTTTGAATCATTTAAATCGGACGCTTAGTTCTCTCAAAAACTGCAATTTTTTACATATTTAGCTCCGTATCTTCGAAATGGCTGGGCCTGCTTTTGCCAAAAACTAATAAACACTTCTCCCAATCGTTACTAATTGAATGTTTTTTAGATCATTCAAATCGGATACTCCGTTCTCTCAAAAATTCGATTTCTATTTTCTGCACTCTTTGCTCCGTATCTCCGAACCGGCTGGACCTGCCTTTGCCAAAAACTAATCAGCTCTTTTCCCTATCAATAGGAATCGAATGTTTTTTGAACCATTCAAATCGGTTGATCCGTGCGTCCTAAAACGTGACTGGAAATTTGTATCCATACATACATACACACACACACACACACACACACACATCCATTTTTTC